TTCCATATTTCATCCATTTGTTCATAAACCTGTCTTGAGCTATCCATCCCATGAGACAGTGTGATGCCTGCCTTCAAGGCTCCCACTGTGCAGTACCAGTAGGTGGACACAGGAGTCTAATACCATGAGGCAGCCAACTAAGATGACTGACTTATTGGCCATGTTTCTTCTGTTGTTCCTAACATCATTTTCAGCTCTGCCTTTTTTTGCAATTCTGGTGCAGGAACCTCAAATAAAGAACTTATGCCAGGGAGGCAAGTAATGCCCATCTATAATCCCAGCTACTCTTAGGAGATTGAGGCAAAAAGGTTGCAAGTTCCAGGCTAGCCTAGGCAGCTTAGCAAGACTCTGTCTGAGAACAAACCAAAGAACTCTTTTTTGCCTACTTTTGAGTATACTGACACTTACCTGCCATTTCTTCTATTTATTTCTACTTGTTTGCACACCACCACCAAATTCATCTTTCTCAAGCACTCTTTATTATATAATATATATATTTATTCATTTAATTTATTTCAGTACTGTGATTGAACTCATAGTCAAGCTCTCTACCACTTGAGCCACACCCCCCAGTCCTTTTGCTTTTGTATTTTATTTTGGGTATAGAGTCTCCCTAACTTTTCCAGGACTTGCCTGGAACTCACAAGCTTCTTGCCTCCATCTCCCAAGTAGCTGAGATTAGAGCCATGCACCACCATGCCTAGCTTCCCAAGCACCCTTTAATCATGTTTTCTTTTTGCTCTTCAAATCTAGAGTCTAGAATATTCAGTAACTCTCCATTCCCTCTAAGAAATAAACAAAACCCCAAAAGAGTCCCAAGCTCCTTACTTCCAGGGACTTCCACAATCTTAGTAAGACATTCCTCTTTCTACTCCTTAATGTGAGCTGCTCTTTTAGCACAATAACATATTTACTTCTAGAAGATCACTTTGCTCATTTATACTGTTATCACTGAAATTCATGCCCAAATACCAATAGCGCCCCTGTTGAGAGACCTGAAGCAAGCTGTAAGCTTGGAGGGTGGGGACTATGTTATGTTCTTTATTTTATCACTCTCAGTAAATCATGTAGTGCTTTGATAAACATTTACTGGATTGAGAGGCAAACATTGTCTATCAAAATGATGAAAAGAGACTGAAGTTCCTGATCAGGAAAATGTTCATTTGCTGTATTTATTAAGCCCATTACTTATTTCCATTGGAAAATGCCTCATCAGTTAACCACAGCAACAGCAATGAGAACAACGACAAAGCGTTTCTGCTATACTGAGGATTTATGCTGAAGGAAGGATTATTTCTCCTTTTGCAGTATCTCTTTTGCTCTACGGCAATAAGACTTTATATAAGGGAGAAATCAAGACTCATGATTTAAGTAACGTTAGTGACTTTATGAATAAGACTTATAGGAGAGAATCAAGACTCATGATTTAAGTAACGTTAGTGACTTTATGAATCTGTCAAGAAAAAAGGAGTGTTCTTGAAAGAGTTGAGATCAGATATTTCCTGCACATGACACATTCATGGAGTGAATTCCAGCACCTCGGGGTGTTTAAAGATCTTTAAGGGACCTTAAAGATCCTCTTTCACATTCCCTACAGATAAGAGAAAGTTGGATTTTTTAGCTAATATTTAATTAACTCAGTTCATGTAAGGGATGAAAAGTCCTTATGACAGTTAGGTATCTGTTTTACATGTTTTTCATGGCTTCCAAAATTGTTCACTTGTGGGAATTTCTATTAAAATGCTATAACTAATAGAATCAAACAATGTGTGTTTTAGACCAAAGAAAAAGCAAGTGTGATAAACTGGCTATTATCCATTTTTAAGAGAATGTAATTCATTTCACAATAAATGTTTTATTTTCAGTAGTAATATAACAGAATGAATTCATATACTCAGAAGTCAGTTTTAAGTTCTCTGAACACTAAACACCAAAGTAGAATGAGTTTGCATCCTAATAATGAAAAGCAAGAATTTTGTGGATAAGCAAGTGTGAATTCTAGTGTTAATTCCTATACTTCCTATCTGTATAATTTTGGAAAATTTAATCACGGGGTTCAATTTCTCCATGTATACAAACAAATTCTTAGACTGAGGGCATGACTCAAGTGGGAGAGTGCCTACCAGCCTAGCAAGCACAAGGCCCTGAGTTCAAAGCCCAGTAGGAAAAAAAAAATCTCAATAACTGCCTTATAGGATTGCTGCAAAGATGAAGTAATACATTTAAAATACCTAATACCAAAACACATGAAGGAATTCAGTATATGACAATTATCTTTTGATCATTATAACTTGAGATATTTAAGGATGATTTATATTTATATTTTTCTTATTTTAAGAAGGTATAAAAATATACTATAAAAGTTAAATAGCATTGTTATTAGGGTTTTTATTAAATCTAACAGATCTTTCCTCTTCCTGTAATCTGACAGTTTTAAGTAGTTTCCAGGGTAGGGGAAGAAGAGGCAATTTTGAAATTCTCTCTTTGTGAATCATTAAAAAGCTATAGTAGGAAAGGCATGCTTCTGAGAAAATCCAGGTTAGAGACTATCATTTGACACAGGACAGGAAGAGATATTAAGATGACCATGGAATGCATAAGTCAGAAACAAAGTTGTTCTAATAGCATCTTTAGAAACACAACACTGGAAGAATAAACTAGATCCTAATAAGCCAGAGAACAATGCCAAATCGTGAAATTCAATTTAGGAGAAGCAATTGTAATATGAATTTTTAGATATTATAAGCAGGAGGCAGTTTTATTCTTAGAAAGTCTTTTCCCCTATATGACCCACTGAGTCTTTACAACTTTGAATTAAGGTGATATGTGGGTTTGGAGGTATACTTTTTGCCTATTGTCTACATTTTCATTTAGAAGATATTAATGCCTAAAAGAAAGAGAAACTGCTTTGTTAGCTTGCAACAAAGTAGGTCAGTTCCAAGAGGGCTGAGAGCAGATGGAAAAAAAGAGAAGAAATGGAGCTCTTTAGAAGGAGGCAAAAATACTACAGACTGACCCCTCCGGCAGGTGTTCATTATTAGCACCCCTATGTGAATAAGAGGGGTGACAACATGCTAAATTAAAGGATTTCTTGGGAAAGTCTCACAGTAATGATCAGAGGGTTTCCATTCCCCATGATCTAGATTCAGTGAAGCAATATTGAAATATTAGCTAGGTTTAAGGGAGAAACATTAGAACAGGTAGTATGATTATAACCCTTGCTTATTAAACACCAGCTGAAAGGGGGCTTCAGATTATAGGTTTTCAATAAATACCACCAAATCCTGACTTTTATCTCATATTACCAGAAGTTTTACAATTTACTTTTGTTCCTTTTCAATATTACATGTTTTTCTTGCTGCCAAACACTTTTCTTATTTAATATTGTCAACTCTTCATTCACATAAATCAGCCCTTTTATCCATGACAAGAAACCTCCCCTACTCCACACCTTAATACAGAGCCCTGCCGCTAAAAAGAAAAATTAAACACTCTCATTATTATCTTGTGTCTTCTGTTATATCCAATTTTTGTATCATCTGTTTTCATCCGATTGTCATGTTGCCTATGTATGGATGGAACTCTTTACAAGAGCTTACCTTCTGTATTTGCTAGTCATATCCTATGAAGTTGCATTTTATGTACCTTGTTCTGTTCCATATATAAAGCAAAAATCAAAAATGGCAAAATTACCCTTGGAATTTTTCTTAAAGTGATGACATGAGGATAGATCTGACTTTGCCTATATAATCCTGTATAGTAGTTTTACTCAAAGCAAAGGTGAAAAAACACTGAATTCTAAGAGAGGGAAAGACTGAAGAAAAGAAATTATAGAGAAGAAAAGTATAAATGCAAATTAATGTCTGGATATGTAAACCACTCTGCTTCTAAGTTGGCAATTTCATCCCTTTAGTGAATACAGAATGGGCAGACAATTGTAATGTACTCCTGTTTCGTGGCAGACTGTACCCCATTCCATTTTTAATATTGATCCTCTGTGATGTTAACAGATGTCATTTGGCTTGTCACTATGAGACTCAAACATCATGGTAGAGATTCACTTTTGGGAATGGGGAATAAGGGGTGAGTATGTAAAAAAACTAGAATCCTGGCCCAATATGAACATAACCTGCAGAAAAGTATCATAAAACAAACTAGCTGCCATTTTGAGGATTTCAATGGAAAAGCCAAGGTGAATTTGTGAAGAACTAACACCTTGAGGAGCTGCAGAAATGACTGATAATTGTATAAAAATAATTTTTCACTCAGCATTAAGGAAGGTGTAAAGATTTTTGATTTGTATTGAGTAAATCTAGTCACTGGTTTTATAAAATCTCATTATCAAAAATAAGTGTGCTATAAGTACATACACTAAATTCATTGCCAGCTTTGTAATATAGTCATCTTTTATATCACCCTGAAAAGTAGAGCTGTTTCATCAAATATTCAGCTAGTAATAGTCTCACCCATACCATATCAAACATATGAAAAGGAAACCACAACCCATATCAACTAATTTTAACCATAAAGAAATAAATTTTCATTTATCATTACTCGTGATTTTTACTTTGCAACTTTGCTTTTACACTTTTAGTCAATTCAGTTTTTTTCTTTTAGTAGGCCTTTGAAATTCTCCAAGGCCCTAGGCTAAGGATAAACCTTAATGCTGGGTAGATAAACCGCCTTACTGAAAAAGCACCTCAGTCATTCTAAAAAGTACTTAGCTTCTTTGCCCCTTCAGTAAAAAAATAGGACAAGGTCCTTGATCTACAAAAGCTAATGACACAGAAATCCCCCAAGACCCAAAAAGTAAGTCTTTCCACTGCACATATTTTCATTATATGAGGAAATTATTTTTCTTAATAAACTTTTCTTAGCCAGTAATGGAGGATAAAAGTGGACCTACTGTTCAAAGAGCATTAAACCCTGCAGAGGGATAAGGCATCAGTTCCCAGGTTGTTTGATGAATTGTAAACACAGTTGTCTCCTGTTTTTGCACAGCCTCCATAGTGATTGGGAAATGGTGGTGTGAGATGGAGCCCTGCCTAGAAGGAGAAGAATGTAAGACACTCCCTGATAATTCTGGATGGATGTGTGCTACAGGCAACAAAATTAAGACCACAAGAGTAAGTTCACTTCCTTCCAATGTCTCATGCATGTTACACACTATACTTCTTGCCTTGGTATTATGCAAAAAATATTCAGAAAAGCTTGAATTGGACTGAAGAAAGAATTTTCCCTAAACAATAACATTCTGAACTACTCAGATCAGTGTCCATCCATGAATAAGTTAGAGGCTGAATTTACCTCTTCCATGTTGAACAGTTTAGTGTTTCTCTTGCAGAATCATAAGTAAAGCTGGGTTTCCATAGCCAAAGGGAAGAGGAGTAGTGTGGTAATTATTTGAGTAATTCATCCAGGATAAATGCTCAAGATGCTAATCAAATAAAAGTCTTGCCTAATTCATCTAGGAAGTTGCTAAAAAGATCTGCATTTAGTACAGCCATCTTTTCAATGTCCTTTAAAAGAATTCTTTCAGAGAAGCAAAAATGTGCTTAAGAAGTGAATAATATTTTCTTGATTTTTCTGGTTAAATCAGGAGTTATCTTCAAAATATTCAACAACCCATTGGGTTAGACTCTCCAGCCAATCAGAATTGGTGCCAGAATGCTGGACCAAGGGCTATCTAGGACACCCACTAACCCTATAGGGTTTGGACAATCTGGGAATCCTAAAGGAGAGAGGTAGGGGGTAAAGCTTGTGAAACTTAAGGCAGGGACTATTTATCTACTAGCAGCAAAGCATGCCAATACTTTAATAATCAGATGTTTGCATGTGTGTATACCATCTGAACATCAACTCTGTGCTGCCCATTTTTAAAAGCAATCTTCACCAGTTACAAATTCTAGGATGTTGCACTTTTAATCCACCAAAAAAGTGACTCAACTTTCAAGGAGTGTCTTCAGTTCCAACCACTGTATCATGACTCTTAACTTCATCTTTCTTATCAGTTTCATCTTTTCAATAAATAAAATTTTCTCTTGCAACTTTGTGATGCATAAAACACAAAAAATAATGCAGCATAGTGCTGTACAAAACACTCATTTTTCCGCAGATAAAATAAGTAGAGTCAGTTTTTGTGTCAAATTTAGTTGCCTCTGCTGACTGCGCTAGCCAGTAAAGAGCCGTATCTCCCTGGCCTGTGACAAAGACAGATTTCTGAACCACTCTATCTTGTTAACATGCATCTACATGCACCTGACTAGCTCAGCGTGGATTATTACATTTCATTTCAGTGATCACCTACAGAAATGAGCCTAATTTGTGCCACTCACCTACAGAAACAATTTTTAATTGCTAGGAGGAGGAGGAGGTCAGATTTCCCTTTGGTTATGTTTTGCCTGTGAATGATTTAACCAAATAGTTTGACGATACCCTCACAAACTGTTTTGTTTTAAACTACTCTGAATTATGGCCAGTACAGTTAGAATCTAATCATCTTTGCTTTTCCCACATACCTCATATATTTTATGCCATCCCTATTCCATATTTCAATTGATAAAGATCACCCTTTGTTGAAGGTAAGCCCTGCTTTCATGGTATCCCTCATCCCAAAATTCATTAAAGAAAAATATTATCATCAAACTATTTCAGGACTTAAATATGAGAAATTCAAAGTGTATAAACTAGTAGACATCTTGGAAGATAGAAGATAAACTCAAAAACAAAAAAATCAAAAACTGAAAAAATAATTCAGAAAATGTTCGCCTACTTTTTGTGACCAAAATAAAACTTTCTTTGGCCTCCATAGGATCTATTTTAAAGCCATCAGGAATATTATTAATATACTCCAGATAGTCTCTGACATGTGTGTTGTGCAGAATCTGATCACAGTAAAATAGAGGCTGGGGCACACTGTTCCTGCCCTGGACGGGCTGATTATAACCAGAGAGTACAATGTATAAGAGAAATAAATCATTATCGCATTTGGTTTAAGAACAGAGGATGTACCTATATGATGTGTACATCCACTTCAAGCAAGGAAATAAGAAATTGCCCCACAGCTATGCATCAGTCAATTGAGAATTCTCATCTGTCTTTAGAGAAGAAAAGAGCATTACAAAAAGCTGTGTTTTTTAAACTTCGCAAGTGCTCAAACACTACTACTCACATACATTTTCTCCCCTCAAGTTTCCTAAGAAACTCACAATGTAATAAGCACTTTTAAACACAAAAAGTACCAATTAATTCCAGATGATGCATATCAGAGTCAATTATTCTCTACAAGTAGTAGGTACACTAGGTCGTAGACTCTGAAAAACAGGGTTCATATTAATTTTCCTTGTACCCCTGTGTGTTTTTCCCATCAAAACACATACATGCCTACACACTTCAAATATTAACTCAAGCAATTTTACTTTTAAAACTATTTAATTCACAAAGGTACTTTAATTATTAGAAAAATATATTTTATTGTTCCATTCTTATCAAAGAGGTAAGAAAAAGAAAACTACCACTTTTGTTCTTATGTGCAAAGTTGATTCAAAGAATGCACTCCCCAGAAAAAAAGAGAGTAATAACAAAATGCTGAAAAACATACCCAGATGGTTAAAATGGTATCTGAGTTTCTTTCTATTTAAAAAATTAATTCTAATCTAAAGATAATTGCCAGAAAGCTTCCTGGGACTTTACTATTTTTCCCTAGGTAATAAAAGGATTTTTCAATTCCTTCCTATTTTGTAGGCTACATCCAATATAGTAACCCAAGACAAGATTCTCAGAAGTCTTTGAAATACAGATAAACAAAAGATGCTTCCATGTATGATATAATCTAAAATTTCTAAGGAGAATACAGAGCAGAAATTCTATATTTTATCTAAATTACCAGACACATGAGAATGTGGACTGGCCTGTAGACATTGGAATCTAAAGGAAAACCTTGTAGACATTGGATCTGGTTCACAATATATCCCAAGGAAGAAAGTAGAAAGGATGGGTAGAATTAGACAAAGGCTTTCAGAGGATTTGGAAGAATAAACCCTAAGAAAGGGAAAAGAACCCTGATGTCATGCCATAAAAAAGAAGTAGTCATGTTTGAATGGTTGTCTGAGATCCAGTCTGAAGTGGAATAAAGCTAGTGGCACATGCCCTCCTGGGGAGAATCTTGGTACATCATGGCCAAACATGTCCTTAAGGGATCATTGCTTGGATTGCCTCATTAAATTGCTTTATTGGTACACAGTAGCAAGACTAGTCTAAACATTGACTAATGATCTTCACCTCTATTTTTGATTACCTATTAAATTATTTCTTTTCATTGAAATAATACACCAAATCAAGAAATTTGAAAGTTGGGGAGTCTATGTCATGTATTCAATAACACATATGTGCCTTGCATATGCAAAACAATGGCTTAATTTAGAAAGACAAACTTCCTCTTAGAAGAAATAAGTTATATGATAATGTTGAAACAATTCCAACTAAAAATTGAACATCAGTTGTTTGAAGACAAGAAGGGAAAGAGGATGAAATGAGAAAAAAATGTTACTTGAAAAGGAAAATTAGATAATCTGGTATAATAACTATAAATGTATCAAACAATTTTGGATATGCTCCAGTCTAGTATATGAATGTCTGTCACATTAGTGAGAAAATCACAATGTAAAGTCAAGTTCCATTCCCAAAAGAGGGAGTTAACAGACATTAGATTGCACAACTAGCCATAATAACCATTTGTCAAATCAGTGTTTTATGTGACTGGCCAACACAAATCCCCCACAATCACTCATTCACACTCCTTTGATCCTTAGTCCTCTTGGCAACTCTGATTTTGAAAAATCTCTGCCTATTTGAATTGTCCCAATTTTTTTTTATATTACTTAAAGGCCGAAGTACCAGCTTAGACTATTCTAGCTTCTTCATGCTAGCAGGTCTAAAATGTTCTGAAAGCCTGTGACTTTAAAATTCTGACTTCCAGCCCATTTTATGTGAAATGCCTCTTAAAAAGAAGGAAGAAAGGAAAGGAAAAAGGGAGATATCTATTAAAAAATAATGATTGATATCCAAACAGATAAGGAATTAAAAAAGAAGAGACATTAAAAGACATGGAAAATATTAACAGATTTAGAGGATTTCCAAGAAGGAAAAATAAGCTAATTTACACTGTTACAATTCACTCTGGATCCATGTGAAGTCAATCGTTTCTTTAGTCAGCAAATATATTTAATCCTCTACTATCAAAATCCATTGTGCTAATGTCTTAAGGATGTGATGCTGGACAAGATGGAACCTTTGGTCTTCCATGAAAGAGAGGGCCTAGGATTGGCTATCAATTCAGCTTTGTAAATGTCATTTTCTCCCTCTGGGTGGAAAAGAAGACAGTATAAACCAAGGCAAGAAATGCCATTCGAATGTAGGAAACTAAGGTTTGGAAGGATCTACTGTTTATAAGGAAAATATATGAAAATAAATGTATGGAAAATTCTTATAATTCTGCTCCTGACCCAAGCAACTTTTGAATGCAAACTTTTATTATTGTTCCACCTAACTTTGGAAGATTTAAATGGACTTCCACTCTTGGACTCAAAATGTTCCATTTCTAAAACGATAAAGAAGTAAGAGGTCATATGTTCTCCCTCATATGCGGACATTAGATCAAGGACAAACACAACAAGGTTATTGGACTTTGAGCACATGATAAAAGCGAGAGCACATAAGGGAGGGGTGAGGATAGGTAAGACACCTAAAAAATTAGCTAGCATTTGTTGCCCTTAATGCAGAGAAACTAAAGCAGATACCCTAGTATCTACTCCAATAGGAAAAGGGGACTAGGATCTAGAGAAAAGGTTAGATCAAAAAGAATTAACCTAGAAGGCAACACACACGTACAGGAAATTAATGTGAGTCAACTCCCTGTATAGCTATCCTTATCTCAACCAGGAACATTTGTTCCTTCCTATTATTGTCTATACTCTCTCTTCAACAAGGTTAGAGATAAGGGCAAAATAGTTTCTGCTGGGTATTGAGGGGGTGGGGGGGAGAGGGAGGGGGTGGAGTGGGTGGTAAGGGAGGGGGTGGGGGCAGGGGGGAGAAATGACCCAAGCCTTGTATGCACATATGAATAATAAAACAATAAAAAAAAGAAGTAAGAGGTCTGGGAGTATAGCTCAGTGAGAGAGTGCTTGCTTAGCATGCATGAAGCTCTGGGTTCAACTCCCAGTACCACAAAAAATTAAAAGATAACAGGAATGCCTTATTTTCTAGAACTTTTGAAAGGCTTTAACTCTACTAGAATCATCATTTATGTTCCAGGGCAGTTCTCTGCACATGTGTCCTTTGGAATATTTAAGTCTTTAGGGCCATATTGAAATTGATTAGATGACATCTACAGTTACAGGAACATGTTCTTAATCACTTTAAATCATTGAATGGAATAGTTACTCACCTAACAAAGGTCGTCTATGTTCCTATACAGATGTGGACAAAACTGAGCAATGACTAACTAATTTTGCTACCCCTCAATGTCTTGAAACAGGCCAATTTGACAAGGCCATGGAATGAAATATTCTAGTTCAACTTCGCACTATAGACAGATCAATTTCACAATTTACATGGCCTACCACAAAGTGAATTATCAATTAATATTTTAAAAATTATTAATAAGTTCAAGAAAGCAATGGAAGACCGTTAAACCAAGCATGGGCCCTTTTGGGGACAGAGCCTTGAGCAACTGGATAGGTTGCATGCCCATAAAGCCAGTCCTGGATAGACATTGCTTCACAAGTCTTCTCAGTTGTGAAAACACAGGGGTCATGTCCATATGCTTTGATCACCATTTGAAAACTACCAATGTAAACTTTAAGATGTTTTTCTTAACTTCAGATCACCTGCAAGAAGCAACATCTTAAAAACTCAAGATGTCCTCATTTTCTGCATAAATACATTTCTTTGTTTCTTTATTTCATAATTTTCTTCCTAAAATTTCTGTCTTTCTTTCTTTGATTTCAGATTCATCCAAGAACCTAACAGAAGTATTTGTTGTAGAAAAAGGAAAACCAACTTGTGGAGAATACATTTTGAGAATTTAAGATATCTTATACATTTACAAGCCAAATGGATCTCTTATTTGCACTTCAATTGGTTACCAGATAATCACAGTGTGCTTACTGTGTGTAAAGAAACATCTCATAATAAGAAGACTCTAAGTTATGGAAAACATCTTGGAAAGTGGCTTTACAAAAGAGTTTTATCAATGAAATTTTGGGGGAACATGAAGAGCGATCAACTATCTTCTCATTTGGAGCTACAGTTACTTTGTATCACTTGAAATATATGTATATATAATATTTTGAAATATTATATATTCTCTTCAAGAAATTAACAGTACCACAATGTGAGACGGCTGGTGTACCTCTTTCAGTTTGGATGTTTTATTGGTTTGGTTTGGTTTATCATTTCTTTTTCTCTTGGAGAGGAAGATAGGTGCCCTTGTGAGAATTCAACATGGTACTGACCGTGGAAGGCCAGCTACAGGTGGACTCCTGGAATATGAGGCATTGTAATGATATTGGAATTGAGAGCTTCCTTCTGTTTCTACCAGACGGCCCAAGGAAGCACACTGTCCTGTTTTATTGCTTTCTACCCTGTGCAATATTAGCATGCTAGCTTGGCTTACATAACCATACTTTATATTCAATTGATATATAATAACCATTCTAACCTCTTCCAGGAAAATATTTTTAGTACTAGCTTTTCCACAGTTATAAGAAAATGAGGATTACCAAGGGAGCTGCTCCACCATGCTATTAAGACTCTGGCAGAGTTATGGTAGGATGTAGGTCCCTGTATTAATAAGTCCTGTAAATACATTGTCTTAGGGCTCTGTATAGCTGTCCTAGACTGCAGAAATGTCCTCTGATTAAATCCAAAGTCTGGCATACTTAACTACATAGTGCTGTAGCAACAAGTCTTATCATGGCACCTCTTTCTATGTTTGATTTGTTTTTTCCTAGAGAATTCAGATCTCATCTGATGAGATAGGAAGACTATGAAAGCAATTAGGTTTCATAATGATCTATGTGACCAAATGTTGGACAGCCCTATTAAAGTGGTAAATAACTTCTTTTTAAACCTACTTGTCCTCTTTATTTGGCATTTATTTTTACAGAATCAGCTTTAACCAAATCCAGACAATACCCTACTCAGAGATTTACAGTTAGACAGGACTTCCTGCTTGAGGTCTTTGCTTCTATTCGTGGTTATTATTCTAACCCTATTATTTTGAAAATCAGAAATTCAAAACTTGGTATACACTAAGTATAACCTAAGTATGTTCAGCCCACAAAATAAACTATCAAATCCACTTATTAGGCTACCACAATGGTCAGTGGGATAATATGTATGTAGGGGCGTTTTCCCCCAAATGGAAATTATTTTCAGTTACTCGGCATATACAAATAAACATCTACTAGTTCTAGTTTTCCTAGAGAAAGTTTAATTGTACTTTAATCCTATTATCATGTTGCAGTATATGTTTTCCAAAACCTATTCTCTGGTATGCATGATGCCAGGGCCTCTTATTACATCAGCAGTGCAGTGGGTTCAAGAATCTGTACTTTTTAATATTAAACCTCAGGTAAAACTGAGAGACTCCTCATCTGTACCAAGGTAGCCTGAAGTGTGATTTAATGTATAAATGCTTTAGCCAGAAGATTTTATTCTGTATCTTGAAAGACTGTGAAAAGATCCAGAGAGAGAAATGGCATCTTGACTGCAAAAATCTAGACTTCCACAAATATTTATCAGAAGGTAACATAAAATTCATGCCAATAGCTGGGCATGGTAGTGATGCACTCAGGAGGCAGAGGCAGAAGGACTGTGAGTTTGAGGCCAACTTGGGCTACATTGCAAGATCCTGCCTCTAAAAACCAAAAAGATAAATAAATAAATAAAAGAAAACAGCATTCATGCCAGCAAATCAGAATTTCTTAAATTCACAGTCCAGATCTATTCACCTAATAATATGCTATAAATTGACTTTTTTCTGTAAACTCCAGATTAAAACTGAAATCACAAACACAAAGAATTCTCTAGAACAGTACATTTCAAAATGTGCCTGAAAATATTTCTATAGCCAAATATATTTGGAAAAAAAATAGATATGTTTACTGGGAGAATTGTCAGAGCCTACAAAAAAAGACACCATATCTTCCAGAAAGACTACATACAAAAGGAGGGTCAAGTTTAAATAAAAAGAAAACCAGAATCCAGACATGTTGGTAGTCACTTTGCTAGTTAAGAGAAAACGTGCATACTATGTATAATAGGAAGCTACAAGGATTTATTTCTGAGCGAGTATAGAATCATTACATTGTCATATCTTCAATTCTTCAAGAAAACCAGAAATTTAGACTTCTGCATAAGATTTCCTAACAATCCTGAAATTATATGAGCTAATCCCATTTTCAAAGCTACAATCATTATTATTGTTCTAAATTGTCTGAACATGTGGACTTTACTATGAGAAGAATGTTTCCTGGAATCCTCTTTTAAAAGCATTGATCCTAAATGAAAATTCAATGAGAAGAAAGAAGGCTCTTTTCTTTTGTAAGACATTTTACATGCAGACACTTCTCATCACTCATGATGTATGGTGCTCACAGCTTTTCCTGTTCCATACCCAGTGACTATAAGTCAATGAAAGAGTTAGTCTAGAGGTCTACATCTGTTAGATCACTTCCTGATGATCAATTCATGCCAAAACCTCCTTTAAAAGACCTAGAGAAAGAACTAGGGAAAAAAGACCACATCGGAATCAGGCAACCATCCAATAAGACAGTGCAAATATTTATAAATGTCGTCAAATTCAATTTGGATTTATCCAAGTTCCTTATACAAATGTGTGAACCATCAAAATGTGGTTTAAATTTAACTTGCTCCAGTCTGGGAAATTCAGTAGCTACCATCTGCCTATTGAATCTGAACATTTATGGTGCAAAAGAACTTATATCACATATTTCTGATAATAAAGAGCTCAGTATGGCATGACTAAGACTGATTTTGAGCTTATGCATTCAGTGCAATAAATAATGTAGCATAATTAGAGCAAATGCAAAGAGTTTCATATAGAACTATGCTGTTGGCAAAGGGAAAATGGAGCTTATTTCTTAACAGTGTCTGAGTAGGGTCAAGTTCATTTATTGACATTGTTGGGTGGTTATATTTGTCTATTAATAGACTCAGAAAGCACATGAAGAAGTTGAATACTTTGGGATTTTTCTATTATGGAATGATAAAGAATATTTTCAATACACAAGTCAACATCTTTTTTTGATCAGATCAAGTGTAGCTTTTACAAAGCAATATAGTGATTTTATAGTACAATATATTAGGCCACCTTGCCATTGTCACTGATACAGTAAGTTAGAGAGGGTATAAAAATTGTTTTCTGAGAAGAGTCATCACATTTCTAACCTGCATGAGATTTGCACTGCTTCATGAGAGGTTAAATCCCATACCATAACATGGCTTTCTCTTCTAATTAAGCAGGATACCTCCATTTCAAAAACTATGAGGGTTCCCTGACAAAGAAGCATGCCATGTCTCTTTTTATGAGCTATCTACTTTCTAAGCAAAAAATTTAGTGTTCAGTAAATTGTCGGACTCAAGACATCTCTTATCTTTTTTTTTTATAAATATAAGAAAACATGATAAAAGGCACTACAAAGGAAAGTGAGATCCTGGGATGAGTAGCAACAGTGATAGAATCTAATTTCCTAGTACCCAGGGGCATGGTACAGAAGTGATGAAACAGAATCATGTTCATTCTTCAAAGTAAGTTAAAGAGGGAGCCGTTAATCACACACACACACACACACACACACACACACACACACACCCCAATAAATCCTCTATTAAAGATTTAGAGATTTGAGGTTTGGTAGAACAGGATTTTTTTTCTCTTGTGAAAAACCTCACAGACATATCATTTGATAGTATGACATGCTCACGTTATTGGCCCATAACTGTCCATTTGTTCATTTTGTTTATTTAGGAGGTTTCTTTCATTTAAAACAAAAAATACTTAGCTTTCATGTTTTTAATCTCTTGTTTCATTGTTTAGAAAATAATAACCAGTCACCAAAAAGGAAAAACAGGACCCCAGCCATAACTGAAAACAGACCAGGTGATGGTTATCCAGTCCTGATTTCCATTTGCTTAGAATATCTATAACCCAAGAGTAGGTTCACGTGCACTCCTTGAGGAAAACCTGAAGCCAGACTGAAACAGTATAGCTCAGCAACTAGATCATGACCCATAGACATGTGGCCAAGCATAATGGAGTGATCACCTCGCTATTAATAAAGTCTACAAATAAAATTTGAAAGGATTTTCAGTTTTCCTCTGATAGATGAATGCCAAGGTTGTAACCACTGTACTGGAAAGGAGTAACTTGATCCAATTTCCATAGGCTCCTACTTTGGGGTAACCAAGCTAATATGAGAGCAAAACTGGGGGGCCAGAAGGAAGCACTATCAAGTTAGAAGGTAGCCGGTATAGGAAGACTTGAGAAGCTTGTGTATTTATTCAAAAAATAATGCTACGTACCAGCTGCCCTATGAAAATGGCCTTCACCATCTTCTTCCTCCTTTACACCTACAACCTCCCACACATGAGGTCAATTTGTGACCTTTTCCCTCTAAGGAAAAGCCCTTCTTTCTATTCACACCTGGATTCCATGTGGATTCCTGATTTATTTGGTCACTAATCTGAATCCTCCCAAGATAGCCAGACTGAGAACCTCTCAGGCTCTCTCATTCCTCTCACTCACATCACCACTAGCATGTCTCCTCTTCTCTTCTCCTCGTCACATCTCAGACCTAAAAAGCACTAGGTCATTTACTACAGCAGCAGTTTTATAAGCCAGAATAGCCCACGAGGGTTCAAGTCTTTGTTTTACACTTAAAACATAGAAAATCTTATACCCTTTTTCCTTTGGTTTTATTGTCTAGAAAATGGAGATCACTGTACAAAATTTAAAGGTGATAGAAGGACTATGGAAATAGAGAAAGCGGAACTCTTTTTTCTACAAATATAAAGCTTTAGAGAAGCATATTATTATCATCATACCTGCTATTACTGCAGTGCTACCTAGAAGCTCCCTGTGTCAGTGATTCCACATGCAAGAGAATCACACTTGGAAACAGCTAAAAATATTATTTCACACTCTTTTTCTAGATTTCTCAAAGACTAGACAGACCCTCACTGGACTCTGTAGAATTCTCCATCCTCTAGCACCACTGCTGGTATTTTAAGCCACTGGAAAATGCCAATATAACCCACAGTTGAGCAACACTAATAACATAATCAAGTAATTGAATATTGGAGAAGGCACCCTGCTGGTGTCCAAAACGTTTATCCAGAACATGAATTACTGATGGCGCAAGCCATCTGGTACATAAGACAAATATGAGCCGCCACAAATGATGTCATGGCTAGGCCACTCTTTCCCCACATGTAGACCCCTAGTAATTCAAGCTAATTGTTCAAGCAGATTCACATGTCACCTTGTATTATCATAGATTTGTGACCTCTTTTAAACTTGCCTCAATGGCAAAGCTCACTTTCTTTCATTTATTCAAGAAACAAGTATCTTTTAAGTCCTTACTATGTATCAGGAACAGTACTGGATACTGAGAATGACCTCACACCTTAAATTATTCTAGAGGTGGTAGATACAAAAACAAAATGAACAAGTAATCACAAATTGTGACACACAAAATTCAAAAAGAGCCAAGAAAGTATATAATGGGAGCAATTTTAGGTACATAATGAGGGAATACTTCCTAGAGGGGTGGCATTTTGTTTGCAAACTGAGCACAGCAGGAAATGATCATTTAGTGAACTAAGGGGAGTGGACTTGAGAAAGTGGGGATATTACAGCTGGGGAGATCATATGAGCAAAAGCCCTAATCAAGGAAGACTTCAATGTGTTTGCACAATATACAGGAAGTCCCTTTCAGTTGGATGCCAAAGTACAGATAACTGAGAGCCAAGTGTCATGAAATCGGAGAAGGAAACTTGAAGTCAGATTATGGGGTCATATAGAGCATGATAAAGAATTTA